AAACTAATTGAACGGTAAATGAAACGACAAAGCTCTGAAAATAATGACACCTTGTTGCAAATTTTGTGTAATAACTTGTTTATGACCATAGAACTTTCTATTTCCAATTGATATAGCATTTCACATGCTGAGTGACATAGAATTCAATAACAGAAACGCTGCCCAACACGCATTAAGTAAGTGAGGCCATGGGAAGTAAAAAAAGGCTAAGATGGCATCGCCATGATTTTGAAATACATATTTATTTTAAAAGATACGAGTACATTTTCTTTAATATCAGAAAAATGAAAACGGCTACGAACCACCTACCAGAAGCTCTAACGAAATATACTGTAGCTCCGCTCCATGTTTGATTTTTGCTATGTTTATGGGTAAAGGCAGTTCATTTTAACCCATTGGGTCACGCAGTGATAATATAAGGTTAAGAAATTCAGAAATTAAAAAAAAAAGGGGGTGGGGTGGGGTTGTGTGTTAAGTGTGCATTTATTTCCTTCTTTTACCAATTTTCATTTAAAATGTAACACTATTTTGAAGGAACTGACCAATTTCTTATTGTCACTACACTCTGTATAAACTACTGCTACATATGTATATGCTTTCATATGATGGATTTGAGCAGCTAATTTAATATATGTATATTTTTTACAGATTTATTTAATTGTTTTGATTAATTACTTTATATATGATTTTGATTTATTATTTAAAAAAAAAAGAATTTTAATTTAAGATAATAACTTCTTTGAGTTGTTAGCTTCAAATTATTTTTTTCTTTGCTGCACCAACTTAAAAATTTGCAGCTTCCACTCAAAACTATATTCAGGAGTGTGAATCGATTAAAAAATTTCTTTGGATTGAGTTAGATAGACTTAACTATAGACTCCTTCACCCTTCACCCTCCGGTGCACTTGTTGATGCTTACCTTTCATCCCTGTTCAAAATTTCTGTGTGTCAACTTTTTATCGACCTGTTTATCAATTTCTATTTATTATTCTGGTTGTGGGTCGCCACAACTTGGAAAATTTTAAGGTGTCACGGCACTAGATTCTAAAAAAACTCCGTTAAGTCATTTTAACTAGAGTCTAATGTAATAATGTTCTTCTTCTTCTATATCTTAAGGGCCCACGATCAATTTATTGATCATTTTGGCTCCTATGCATGTAGATGGGATTTGCAATGTTTCTGTTAATGGTGGTGATGAGGAAATTATGCACTAGGGGTTTGAAGGCTTGAGGCAATAGACACAAATGTGTCTATTGTTGTCGTCTCAACTGTTCCTTTTGAAAGATGGTTCCAGTCCCTGATTGTCTTGGGCAGGAATGAGCAGCTCCTATACTGGCTTCTTGCTGGTATGAGCCTGAATTGCCTGTCATGGCCTCGTCGCTGTCTATGGGGGAGAGGGACGAGTTCTTGTTTAATACTGGAACAGTGGACAGCCCATTATTTATCTTGTACATCATGGAGAGCCTGGATTGTCGTCGTCGTTTCTCCAATGGTGACCAGCCTAGTGTTTCTAGAATGCTGCCAACACTAGAGGTATTCCTGTAGCGGTTTAGGTATTTTCCCCTTAATTTACTAGCAGTAATTCTGAGTTTAATTTTTGCTACGATTCTCATTGACAAGATAATGAAAGTCTCAATTTAAATCGCTTCAACTTATATAATTATCTATGTGACAAGAAAACAAGGGCTTGAAAAAGAAATAATGCAGGGCACAACGACAGAAGGGAGAAGAAGAGGAAGACAGAAAAAAGATATGAGAAGATAACATCAAAGAGTGGAAGGGACTAAAAGAAAGCGATGCTTTGCGAAGTGCAGAAAACAGAGAGGAATTGGCGATAGTTTTCATGTCGTCTGTGGCGCCCCAAAGGTCCAAGGACGATAATGAAAAATGTCTGTCACTTAAGCTAATGTTCAATAGCTCGTACACTAAAATTCCCGATAGCTGCGCTAAATGAGGTTCTTAACCACCGCAAGAGATTTGGTGCGTAAATTTGTTTTTGTTTTACGGAAAAAGTCTAAATTTAATTATGGTTATATAAATCTGCGGTTTAAAAGGGCATTGGACATTTGAATATGAATATAGTTCAGAGGCGGTAGCGTACTTGTTGGGGTAGCAATAACTTGGATATTTATAAAGTACGTTATTAGATTCATGTTTTGTTAAGTAACTTTAGAAAATGGGAAGTTCTCTGAATGCGACTGCCACTGTTTGGTGGCTTATTTCAGCAGTAAAGACTTATTAATACTCTTTAAATATATCTACATCTTCTACTGATTGTCATTACCATCAATAATATTGTCTCATTTTATTTAATTAACTTCAAAAAGATTAACATGTCTTAAAACGGACAGAAAACTTTCGATCCAATTAAAGTCACCAACCAATCTTTGAGATTGTATCATGGGGAATGAGGCGCGAACTGTGAGAACGGGACTGAGATGGGTTTTTTCTTATTTGTCAGAGCCAACCCAAATGTTTAAAGTGTGGGCTTGAGATTAGGAAATACTGGGTTAACTGTGGAGTTCTCAGAAAAGCTCTGGCCCTTTTTTTTCGATGTTTAATTTAACAATTTTAACTTCAATAATTATTGATCTCATGGTTTTAATTAGGTCCAGTCTAAATTTTTCAAATATATTCGTTATAATCAAGAAATAATTGAATTAGATTAATAACTTGTTTTGTATAATCGAAGCAATGACATATTGTTACATTTTGAGCAATTTTCTTTACAAAGTGCAAACAAATTAGTGAAGAGGGCCCAGCATTTAATCACAGTTTTGGGGAAATAGTATTAACAAAAAGGCTGAATTTCAAAACATCAAATACTGAAGAGTCCATGAATTTGCGAAATTCAATATCAGCTGCCTTTAGATATCTTCAAAGCCTCGGTATTTCTTTTAAAAGTTCATCTTCTGATAACTTATTATAGAAATAAGATAGTTAATTTTGTAACGGACACCAAAAACTCTTCTCCCCTTGCTGGTACTAGACTCTGGGTTAAACAGTCCCATACATATCTGCTGCTTCCTTGATCGCTGATGGGATTCAGAATGAAAGCTGTCAAAACACTTCAGCATCTCCCTACTGTTTTCTTCTCGCAGAAAGAGTCCAGCATCTATCAATTTGTCTCCTGCTATTCTCTTCTTCAACATTAATCTTTGCTCTTCAAAATTCTATATTGGTCTGATTTTAAAAATGACTTTTCAATAGCATGCTCCACCAAGTGACGGCGCTTCTCGTGCAGAAACAATCTTAAGACCTCTTGGTTTGTCACCATTTCGTCAAGAGTAAAACCTTTAGTCTGCAGATACTGCTGTGTAAGATTAACTTCCTTAAGTAGAACAGCCCAAATGTAAAGGTAGCAGATAAGCGTGAAATCACAGACCGCATATAAACGACCTTGTGCTGTACCTCTTGTATACAAATTTTCAAGAGGATTACACAGAGCTTTAATCACAACCACGCAAACATTCATCAAACTCATCTTTCACTGTTTCAACAGCAGCATAGTTCTTTTCAATGACAATTCAGTGTGTTCTATTCCATCAATGAGTTGATGCAGCAAAGAAGTAAAATATTCTTTCAAGAGCACCGAAAACTGTAATACATGAAGCATTTTCTGCAAAAGAGTGTTGACCCCACAAGTTAAGTAAATGGCCCACACATCCAATAAAAAATGTTTTCTTATTTACTATTTCTTTTCAGAATATCCTCAAAACCTCCATGGCTCACAGAAAGTGTAGCATTATCGTAACCTTGCGCTCTGAACATCATTATGTCTAGTCCATCACGTTTTAGTTTTGTAAAAATTTCAGAACTGAAATCCTCAGCTTTTTTTCCTTTTAACGAGAAAAATCCAAGAAACATTTCTCTCACTTCAACTTTTCAATTATGGATTTTCACAAATCTGAATACTTCAGACATCTGGTCTCTGTGTAATATAACAGGTGTGCTTTCGAACATAATTCCAAAATACCTCACAACCCTATTATCCATGACAAGAATCTCCTTCACATGTTTTGCAAAGACATTTATAAATTCATTTCAAATTTCTGGTGAAAGGCAAGATGCGGATGCTTTTTCTGAGATGTACTCCACTTTAGTCTCATTTGGTGCTCTTTTAGCACTGGGTCATATTTAAATAGCATCTCAACCATTTCAAAATTTTCAGAAAAGATTCGTCTTCACTGTGGCCAAGAAATGCCAGATTTTGCTTGCAAGAAACAATGTGGTATCCAGCAACCTGTGAAGGATATCCCTCCACTTTTTCTTCTCCCTGTCAATCACGGCAATACTTTCGCCATGAATTGTTTTGTGTATCCTAAGTTCCGCTTCCAATGCTTTCCACGTTCAAAGCGACATAGGTGCTCTTAAATACTTAATTTGTTACAGTGTGTGCTCAGTGTGTCCTGTAAATATGCAATTTTTAAATCGGGTGTCACCTCTAAAATTGTGTTACCCGGTGCGGTTCGCACCCCTGCAACCCCTTCTCTACGCCACTGGCCGGTAAATATAATACTATATTTTAAAAATCTCTCACTTATTATAAATTGTGCAATTTATTCATAAGCAGTACCAAATAACCAGTTTGAGTGTGAAATGCCCTTTGTTGGGCAACACTGGGATAAAGTTTTATTAGTGGGCAAATGGGATGCTTTGTGGTTTAATGTCTTGAAATGAGGACTGAAGCTGGTCTTAGGCTATATCGGTAGTTTGACATCCTATTGTGTCCTACACCTGAATCTACATACTGCTGATTGCCCAGGCTTCCTAGCTTAACGTTATTCCACCATCAATTTTTAAAAAGTTATATAATGTTAATTGTTACTACATGATTTTAGCATATTTTAATATAATCTCATATCATTCTATTTTAGAGCAATATAAAGCGTCATCAAATCATTGTCCTTTGAAAAGGACAAAATGCCATAAGATCATTGTCTACAGTTATTACTAGATAATAGATGATGCGAAAGAATATTCCAATGATAAATTTGACTGTTCAATGACAGCAGACACATCAAGATTTGACGCTGTGACAGAATCACCTGTACCAGACAGATAATTGTACGGGTTGTTAAAATGTCTACTTTGATCCCCAAGTTTAGAGTAAACGTTCTTTAGGATTGCTGTACCTGGAGCTCCACCAATGTTCCCAATCGCTTGCTTTTCTGAATCGGGATTATTTTTAGTGGTATCGAGCTCATAGTAAATTGGATGAGGCTCCTTCATAAATGCTGAGCGGTTTCCACCCACGAAAGGATTTGGAATCTTAGACACGTCCAAATAATGTTCTTTCGGCTCTGATGGTGAAATATCTACGCAGATAGGCTCAAAATTTGAATAAGGGTTTTCTTTTGGGTTGTTATGGATTACTGAATGTTTATAATCTGTGACCACAGCGCTGCTGTTTATTAAGTAGTTGCTCTTTCCACCAATCTGTTGAACCTGATCACTATTTAAATACACACCACAACCTGATTTTGGAAAACCTGGACTGTAAAGCACAGGTGCCTCGGAATTTGTATGATAAAACTCGCCATTCGAATAGTTCACAACAGTGTACTCGTCCACGATTTCACTATTAACCGGTTTATTAGCATACTAGTCGTCCATAATGTGGCTTTGATCATCAGAGTTTATATTAGAATAAGATGGACTTTCATTGTCCATGACATTATCGGACTTACTTTCAAGCGGAACTGCTATTGGCGCTTTTTGAGATTTTCGTCGTGTATGTTTGTGCCGCCATCTCCTCAGAAGGAAAAGTCCTATGCCAATAGCAAGTAGAGCGAATAAACTTATGGTAACACCAAGAATGATTGCCACCTTATCATCTGAATCACCATTACCACCATTCAACATATCACTTTTAAGTTCAGTAGTTAAGGAATCATTTGTCGTGGAAGCACTTATCGAAGTTAGCTGTTTTATGGTAGTGAAAGTAGAGGTTATTTTTGGAGTAGAAGTGGTCGTCTGTTTTGTGGTCGATTTAGTAGTTTTGGCTGTAGTTGATGGAGGATAACAGGACCGGGGCACATTTCCTCTAACAAATATTGGAGGATAAGAATATATCTCGGCAAATTGTCTGTAGTACCAGCTTATCTCTACACATTGTAACTGACACATTATCAGGCTATTTATATGGAAGCGTGTAATATTATATCTGTTTGACTGCGTTAAGCTTCTTTCGCAGAATACATGCCGACGTACAACATCCAGTATACAATTATATCGGTTTTTGAAATTGGCTACGTCGTTTTCAGTTGTGTTTGAAATATGTGTAGCTTCACACATCTCTCCCGTACAACTTAGGTGAACTTTGCATTTTATTGCTGATTTGTTGAAAAGGCATTCCTTGAACCTAAAATAAAATGCATATTAATATCAACAATAAATAATGACATTTATATAATTTGTTCACTTAAATTTCACTTTGACATTTTTTATTCTTTGATTTAAAAAATTTGTGATTTTAACAATAAACCAACAAATAATAAATAGTATAAAATATGTTAAGGCAAACAAGAAGAGGGTTTATAGAGTGCTAACAAGTAAAATATCTAGAGCCTTGTTTATGACCCGGTAACTGGCAAAGTGTGATTGAAATATACTGTTTAGATATTATAGGCCTTGTATAAGGTGGTGACCCTTTTAGAGAACGCCTAGATAACATAACGAAATGGGAACCTAACACTGCCTCTAAGCATTTAACAGCGAGAGTTACTGGGTAATTTTAGCCTGTACTCTATATATTAATTTATACACCTTGAGTACATCGGATAGGATAAATATGGAAAATAAAAACATGACGCCTTGACTTCAATTTAAATATATAAATAGATGTGTACGTATATATACACTAGCCGATATACCCGACGTGGGCCGGGATTGCATTAGGACCCCATCCTCGTGGGACCCCAAACCCATTGTGACACTGATCCCGGCACCGTCCCATTTCCCCGTGTGATCCCAATCCCGGTGGATATATTCAAAGTTGGGATCCTGATCCCGGTGGGATCCCATTTTCTAGTGGGATCCCGATCCCATTGTGATAAAGATTATAATGGGATCCTGACCGCTTTTGTTTCTATCCCGAAAAATTACTTAGTGGTACTTAGAAAACGGTAAACTTCGGGACCGTATAGAATAATGAATAAAACTAACTAACATTTCAATATTCCCTTAGATCCGACTCAATATCCTCTTGGAACAATTTAGAACTTTCTGGAATGTTCAGGATTAAATTTCATAACCTGCTCGAAACATGTGTAAAAACTGCTTTTCTAATTATTATTCAAATACGATAAAAATCTTCAACAAATGCCATAATTATAATCCTTTTTCTTTTAAGTTAATCGAGGTTCCCAGGGGCCCAGTCCATAACTGTACCGATATAGTTATGCCTGAGATAGGGGGGCCATATAAAATAAGACGGATAAATAATAACGTTAAAATTTAAAATTTGTCCCACAAAAATCTACTTAAAAATGCCTTAGATATAGCTTGTTAAAATTATGGAACTTTCTGGAAAATTCTAGATTGGATATTCTTAGTTTTAAATCCACCGATATTTCACTACGGACTAAGAGGCGTAATGAACAAAGAACCTATAATGTTGTTTAATCCTATTGATATTTATATAGCTTATAAAAGAAAAAATGAAACGGGGCCCCCGGCCCCAGAGTGATTGATATTATGAGTTCAGTGCCCTTCGGTATTTAAATATGGATAATTAAGTGTACGTTTAATAAGTTTGGTCAAGATCCATCTATTCATGTAGGATATTAAGCCTACTGATATTTATATAGCCCATATAAGAAAAATTGAACGGGCCCCTGGCCCCAGAGGGATGGTTATTATGAGTTCAGTACCCTTCTGCTTTTTAGTATGGGTAATCAAGTGCATGTGTACTAAGTTTGGTCAAGATCCATCTACTCATGTAGGAGTATTTGTTTCTAATTATTTTTATATAGCTCATATAAGGGGAAAAAACGAATTCAGGGCCCTCAGCCCCAAACAGAATGTTTTAAAAAGTTAATAACCCCTTAAGAGTTCCTTCCAGATAATGATGGACATATGTGCCAAGTTTGGTCAAGAGCCTTTGTGGAACAAAACCACAAACAAAATATCACTTATCTATATATATTTATATTATATATATATATATATATATATATATATATATATTATAGAGAGAGAGAGAGAGAGAGAGAGAGAGAGAGAGAGAGAGAGGGAGAGGGAGAGAGAGAGATACAATCCTCCCTTGCCTGCGTCTTTAAAATGTTTTCTAAGCAGATTTTGGTAATAAAAATGGTTTCACAATGAAAATAGATTTAGGACCCTTGCCTTAGGTGATTACTCGTATCCATAACTTCGTTGTAAAGGACAATTAATGTTGTTGTGTAAATCTGGAGTTTTTTTTAGTTCATTTTTTTATTGAGCTCATTATAATTACATGCGAGAATTATTATTGGTTATAAAGGTAAATTAAGCATCTGGCTGTCTGCTTAAGATATTATAGTCAAAATGTACAGTAGACTAATTTTAAAAAATCTTCTCAACTAATTATGAATATATAGCATTTACAAATGCTATTGAACTGGACGATTTCTTTTAATAGTTATCTGTTTATAAATCATTTTTTAAAAACAAATTTTATTGTTCTATTTTTACATTATAAAAATACTAAATAAAGAATACGTTTATTTACTGCAATAGTAAGTCGTGAATTTTCTGTATTAAATACTCTAATAACTCAGTTTTTTTAAATATTTGTTATAAAGAAGTTTATAAGATACACATCAATAATAATATTATAAAGAATATGTTTTCATACCTTAATATTTGTTGATTATAAAGGCTGATGTAATATAATATGTTAGAATCAGTTCATATATATAAATTGAAGTAACTTCCACAGGTCCAAGATGCTAAACACGTTAGCATTACCAGCTGCAGTACAATTAGCTTCATTGTCGTTTATTCCATCTATAATACTTTTTGGGGTAAAAATAGAAGATAAAGAAAGATATAAATAATTAGATCACATTTTTCAAATTCTGAAAAGTTACTTTCAAACCAGGGGCGTTATTTCAGGTTTTTTTCAAAAAGAAAAAGTGGGCAGGAGGCAAAACTCGAACGTGTTCAGTTGTTTATTACTGGAGGCGTCACAGTACATAGCAATTTAAATAGAGCCTGCACATTCAGGTGGGGAGAGTAAATACCCCATCCTGCCCTACCCAAATGACGTCCCTGCTTTAAACTCGTATTCGCTTAGAAATAATTTCAACTTAATATTTTTATTATCTAAGTCCAGACTTTTCTTGCTCTATTAATCTTCGTTAGCCTACTTCCTACGCCTTGATACTTTAAATTTCAGATCTGTTTTCGGCCCCAAATTAATTTGAAATTTGCGGATCATCTGCTTCAAGAACAGTTTGTTTGGTAGACTGACGAGTCTATTTACTCGGCTGTTTAACAACTATTTAAGTGTCATTCGTAAAACTAACCTATGAAAGTTTCCATATGCCCACTAATGATGTTTTAAATATTTTATTGGTGCCAGTAATACGTTTATAAAGCTCCTAATTTAATTTCAAACTATATTTGATTGTGCCATAAAAGATTCCATTGTTTTGGAAAATAAAATTCCCAGAAGAGTATCCAGGCCTCTACAGACCTATGATGGATGTATAATTCAGACCAAATACAGAAATATAACTGTAGTACAAGGACTCATTCAAAGAAACTGCAATAAAAAAAAATCTGTCTGCGCTGAAAGGACACCTCGTGAAGTTGCCAGCTTATATAAAAGGAAGTGGTAAACAGACAAAAACCAATGGCAAGAAAGCTCATAAGTAGATCAAGACATAGTTGGCTTGATGATTCAGAGCCTGATTGGCTAGGGATCTGTGCGTTGAGAAAAAAAAAATAAATAGTCTATATCGTTTCGAATGGAAGTATGTGGTGATGCAGGTCAGAGATCTCAATAGATGTAGTGCCATAGATGATGATGATGGTGTTCTTTGCTTTATCTCATTAAAATGAAATACATTGACCTGAGCAATACCATTTTTTGTCTCATGAAAATGGAATCGATTGCCCTCTTCAACATCGCTTTTTTTTTGTCTCACAATACACATTAAATAGTGTGGTACGGCCCTTGTCTCATCGCTTGATAGGAGCGCGACGGTTCCCCGACGCCATTTCCTAATGTGCATTTTCAGTTGTGATATTTATGCAAGAGTATAGGGACATTGTGTAGGTTTCAACAATGAATTAATTACAGACATAAGGATTTCTATCATATTCTACATTTCTTCATGGAGTATATTTCTTTTACGAAGTCTATGCTGC